AGTGGGAGTAAGGGGAACACCAAAATGGAATAAGATTTCAGTAATTGATGGGATGAGAAACACAGTAGAAAACTCAAAGCAATTTCTTTTTAAAATTCATCTTTATTTTTTCTGCATTCATGTGCCTAAAAATAAAGTTAAGCACTGACTGAACTTTCACAGAGATATAACTTATTTTAGTGGTCAAGTGTTGTCACAGAGTTAAAATAATTTTTTCATGAACTAATAAATTTTTGAAGACAAACTCATGTCAAAAAATCTACTAGACAAACCTCTGAGAAGATGAGAGATGATAAAGTTTTATTCTTATCAGCTTGCATGAGAATCTCTCAGTTGAAAAATGGGTTATTAAGGCACCTTGAAGTAGAAGCTGTATTTCTTAGTCCTGGGCTTCCAAGGAACAAGAAAACTGTGACAACTTAATAGATGGGAAGGGGCTGGTTTGGTGCAATGTTGAGAGATAAAGGGTAGATGACTTCCTTGATCAGATGAATGTGTCCTCCCTGAGACAAACTCATCTTCAGCTCAGAAAAAAAAACACAAAACCCTTGGGAAACCAGGAAGACACTGAATTCTACGCTGGGGTCGCCTTTGGAAAGCACAACTAGAGGTCCCCAGGTAACATCTGGATTACAATTAGAAGCAAGTCTCTGTTTAAATATTTCCTACACATAGAAATCCTTATACATTCACCGAAGTCAATTTTCTAGGAACTACCTTCTGAGATATTTAAAAGACTGCATATCAGGTGTTTGTTTTTTTGCACTAATAGAGTCACAGTTTTTTGGAAAAGACTGTTATCAATAATGGAGCCCTGGTGGCCCAGTGGTTAAACACTCGGCTGCTAATCAAAAGGTCAGCGGTTCAAACCCACCAGCTGCTCTGCAGGAGAAAGATGTGGCAGTCTGCTTCTATAAAGATTACAGCCTTGGAAAGTCTATGGGGAAGTTCTGCCCTGTCCTATAGGGTCACTATGAGTTGGAATCAACAGCAAGAGGTATTATCAATATAGCAACTATTTGCTCTAAAAACCAATTTAACATTTTTTAATGTACTGCACAATTTTCAATAGGCTTTGAAGTACACATACATGTAGCCCAAATTGTTGTTAAGGTCTCATAAGGCAGGCTTTATATTTTTACCAAAGAATTACTTAACAATTCCCACTTATCGTTTGTAGGCATTACTTTCTAAAATGATTAAAGAATAGAGGTGCAAAGCAAATTATATTCTCAATAAACACAGTCTAAAGAAGATACACTTGATAAAATCTTTATCTTCAGTCTAGAAGAGGAAATGACAAGCCCACACAAAGGGAAGGTCAGGCTATCTTTTTAATCCATCAAAATGGTGTCAATTCTATTGATAAACTGCAAAAACCAGCAGTTTTCTACCACCTTCATCCATCCACACTGATAAAAAAACATTACTTCATTTGTTTCATTTCTCATATAGGTATGGATAATTGAGAACCAGTTAAGTGAAAAACCTTATTTTGCAAAATTTTCAAAATGTGCTTTCCTAAATTTCCTCTTCATTTGCATTAACTAGGCTTTGTGAATGCAACAATAAAACTCTAGTTCAAAAACACGTTGTGGCACAAAACTAGTACTACATTCCCTAGTCCACAATAGCTGTCACTTTTTTGAAAACCCTGAGTAAACATTACATGACTTTTGTAGTGCTTGTCAAGTGGCAGTAACTCGAAATGTTTGAGGGTATTTTGAATTGTCTCAACAACTGGCCAGGAATCCTAAACACCCTACAATGTACGGGAACAGTCACTTACAACAAATAAACTGTACAGCCAAAATTGCTACTGTGCCTCTTTTTGAGTAACTATGTTTTAGAGAAAAGGTTCTCAAAAGAGTGGTCCCCAGACCAGCAACATCATCTGCGAACTTGTTAGAAATGCAAATTATGTGAAGCCACCCCAGATCTACTGAATCAAAAACACCAGGGATAGGACCCAGCAATCAGTGTTGTAATGAGCACTCAAGGTGACTTTGATGCACACTAAAGTATGAAAACCACTCATTTAGAGGGATGTCCCTAGCTGCTGTCCTTTAATTTACAGCAGAGATTTTGTTCTCCCATTGTTGTACCTTAGCCCTAGAAAGGTGCCCAGTACACAGCAGGCCCCTCAATCCATACTGGTAGAATCAATGCATACAGTGAAATTCTGAATGACATGGCTTCCCATAAATCCTGTCTGATTAAGAAAGTACCATTTTATAGACAATTACTCCGATTACCCTGGTCAATTCGCTAAACTGTTCAATCCAAAGTTATCTTAATGTGTAAAATACAAGCCAGGAATTTGTAAAATAACCAATCCAAAGAAGAATTAACATTACCGACTAAGTAACCCCTGAGTAAGTTCCAACACCCAAAAGCTCAAAAATGATTAAGAGAATCACTATGTGAGAGATTTGGTTTACTTTTTCTCATTATAGAGAACCACCAGGCAATGTCTGTAAACTAAGCAATATCTGACATTTGATATTGATCTACTTTATCTAATAATTTCAAAGTACTCTGAGAAAAATTAATAAATTATTCTAGCAAAATGTACTCTAAAATAAGATACTGTTTGCACATGAGATAATAAAAATTCATTTGCATAAAGCAGATCAGTTAAATAAGCATATAAAAATGTAACTAACTCACACACTATGGTAAAATAATAATGATAATATTATATTTACATATCTCTAAAACCCAAAAACATACACAAAATCTCAATGACATTCACAAAAGCCTGGATGGCTAACAAATATACAATGCCCGTTCTGTATAAAGAAGAACACAGGAGAATATGTCTTAAACATCCAGTCAGAGGTACAACAAACATAAAACATAACAGATTACTGTGGCTACTCATTTAAGTTTTTGGAAGCGGATCATATAGGTGTAATTTCTACTTTACACTGAGATATACAATGTACAAAATGACAAATATGTGAAGTTCTCTCTGTAACAATTAGCACAGAAAGAATTTTAGACATTATCAATTCCAAAGTCTTCAACACCACCAACAACCCACTTACATAGAGCATTTAAAAACATAAGGTCCAGGCAGTTACATTATAATCGAGAAATGCAGGGGATCCTTGTGTGCCAGTTTGAAAATAATTTAATGGATAACTAAAAAGCCATTTATTAATCGACTAAATTTACTTTTAGAAAATAGGGGAAATGAAAGACAAAAAGAAAAATCATGTTATCTCTAAGTACACTTCTACTTACTTCTAATTTTGAGACTAAAATGCAGACAGAACTTAAATTTTACTTAGAGGTATAATTAGAATACCAGCCTTTTCAAAATTCATCACTTTAAACAACAAAGCCAAATTGAAAAAGGTTAATTCTGACTCAAGATTCTTTTTTTAACCATGATAAACTTATCCACTGCAGAGAAAGGGAAATGGTTATGATAAGTGGTGATTCAAGTCACAAAACAATATACTTGAAAAAGAATAGTTTTTAATGTGTACATAACAACCTGGGTTATATTAATTTTAAAAATGCAGTCTTCTCCCTTCAGGAAAAAACAGGCTTTAGTTATTGCAAAGAAATATCATAAAACAAAGAAAGTACATACTCATAATTTCAATACATAAAACAAAAAGAGAATCAAATTACAAGTTTCAACCAAATGGAACCCTTAGAGATAGTCATGGTTTTACAGAAAAGGCAAGAAGTCTAAAAATATTCTCAAGATAACAGAGCTCTCTGGTAGGGCCTTAAGTATTCAGTCTTATAAGATTCAAAATTCAATCATCTGTGTTATTCAGTAACTGAGGAAATAAAAGAAATTCTCAAAATGTTTTTAGAACACTTAGGAAGATAGTGCTTTTGACATAAAAAAAGGAATAGAGTTAATACAACACACATGGTATTAATTTGGATTTTAAAGATCAGATACTATTAAAAAGTTTTCTGGAATTCTTCTCTATTTCCCCAGAGTAACAATCTATAAATTACCTGATAAGACATTCAACTGTGAAAGTGTATGCAGACCTTGTTTTACAGCACTAGGAAAAACTACATGTAAAGTGAGCACCCTATAATTGTTTCCTATTTTTTAAAATTCCGTAATGAATACTGCCAGAAAACAAACAATGCTTTCATAAAGTATGAAACCACTCCTAATTTACTTAATCATATGATATAAGATGAAATAAAACCATTCTGGGCTAAATAACTTAAGACTTTCTGATTTGATATTGGGAAATCATCAGTATTTTTCAGTATGAAATTGACATAAGCATGTTCTTACTTTTAGGAGACATGTGTTGAAGTACTTGGGGGTGAAGCAACAGGAAGTCTGCTACTTACTTTGAAGTAGTTTGTCCCCCTACACTAAAAAAGTCCACACCTATGAATATATATCTAACCACAGAGTAAAAACAGGAAAACACTAACAACTGTTCAATCTGGGAGATAGGTACATAGGTATTCACTGGTCTTATTCAACATTCTCATAGAAAATTTGGAAAGAAATCTGATACTTTAAATCATTACTATCCTCTCAAATTTCAGGTATAATATACTTTATTATTAGGAAATGCTGGAACAAAACTCTTAAAAACAACCAAAACATGCAAATACCACCGTATTTCCCAGGAAGCTTCCTGTTTCAACAAAATGACCCCTCTCTTTTTATGTCTGACTAGTCTCATTTGACACTAAATTTCAAACTTTTTAAAAAGGTTTTACCATATATTTGATAGCATTCTTTCAAAAATGTGTCATTTTTCTTATCTGGAATCTAGGTTGTAATTTTCAACACGACCGCACTTATGAATTGCTAACTATGATCACTCATACTGGTATTTAGTGATTATGACAGACTTTACATACAAACACCAAGTTACTGAAATATTCAAGTATGCTTCTAAATAAAACGTAAAGGTGTAACTGCAATTACAGTGTTTGAGAAACGAGCAAATGTTTTCATCACTATCCTTATTGATAATTCCTACTTCTGAATGGCAATCCCTGCTCCAGAGACTTTCCAAAACTAACTGACATTTTAGGGTTAAAAACAAAGATTTAATCAGCACTGTCTTCAACTAGAAAATCTAACATTCAAGGAAGAATAAGAAATTGAGCTTTACGAAAAGAGTAAACAAAAAGTTCGTTGAAAACGCCATCTATCAAGAAGAAAATAAATGATTTTCAAAATAAACAAAACCAGGGGGGAAATTCCAGCAAAATATACTGCTAGAATAAAACAACTAGGAAAATGTGTGCTTTTATGCATATTAATTACAAATGACATATGAAATCTAAATACTGCTGACTTTAAACTATTTCAAATCATGACACAAAAAGAAACAGAGTATTGTGATATCATAAAAGTAAAATTGTTTTTTTAAGAGAAAGAATGATGGTAGCATATATAACAAATCTTCACACTTATTTTAAAAATCTAATGATATTGAATTTCCCCTTTATTTTCATATCTACCACTTTTACGTAAATGACATTCAAAACTTTTCCTTGGTATACTAACTCACCAAGAAAAAATACTGACTGAACCAGTCTCAAGTTGTTTAACTATATAAAAACTAAACACTGAATAACTAGGAGTTCACAGATGTTCCACTTGACTGTCACTCAGAAGCTGACTGTTCCCAGGATAAACTTGGTAAGTACTGGAACAAGAATTTTCTTGATGCCGGAAAAAAGCTGTGTAGAACTCTATTCCTGGAGCCAGAGTTGAACCCGGACACTAGGATGGTCAGGAGATTAAGACATCTCTTTGTGCAGAGGCTTTCGAATGTTCTTGAATGAATCATACAGAATTTCACAGCCTTCAGGCAAAGGTAGCTTGCTATTAACAAAAGGATCAAATTTCTCCCAATCTTATTTTAGCTTTGAATTGAAATACAATGATAAAAATTCGCTAAGGAATGAAACATCAGTGACGGGAAAAGTAAATTCAAGTACGACAGATATTACTTAAAAATTATAATCAATGTGAAACTCCTCAAACCCCAATTAATGTCACAAATTTTTAAAATCCTGCTTCCCCCGTCTCAATACTTACAGAAAATGTGATGAGAATAGTGTATTATTTTACAATCTCCAAATCATGGTTTCAAAGAATTGCCAAAAACAAAAGCCTGTGAATGCTATAAATTTTAGAAAATAATTCCATCCACAGTGATGTGTCTAAAATATAAAACATGAAATACTACATAAGAAAAATTTAACTGGTACACAAGGATGGATCTCAATTGTGCTTTACAGCCAACTGCTTTTATTTAAGATTTTAAATAATTAACCAAATTTATTTCTTTCCAAAATATGCCTTCCAGCAAAAAGAGAAACCATGCAAAATTAAGAGGTACTATTTAAACAGTTTATTTAAACACAGCGTATTGTCCTTCAGAAAAATTCTAAAAGCACAATATAGTAACACGCTAAGCTGCTGTGTGAGAAATAACTGCTGCAATCAATGGCTGATGAGTTTCATCTGTGGTACAAGTTATACATGTGATTCATTAAATTTAGAAAAACAAGGTTAGCATACAATTTTTTTAGATATAGCTAGGACTTTGTTTTTGAATAAACATAATGTGACAAAATAGTTTCTTCTTAGTATTGAAAATCAAAATTCTAAATGGGTATTTGACAGAAAGAGCTAGAGAATTAGATTCCAGTGACCCATAGCCATTCTCAAGTTAATTCACAGCTTTTTTTAAATTGTGGTAAAATATATATCTCACAAAAAACTGCTGTTTCAACCAGTCTTAAGTGTCATTATCATTCAGTGACATAAACCACATTCACCATAATGTGCAACCATCACCACTCTCCATCTCCAGAAATATCGCTGCTTTTTAAAATCATCATTTGAACTGTATTCTTAGGAGAAAAACACTTAGCCTTTCAGACAAGTTCAACTACTATTTTACTGGACTTATCAAACTATGGGGAACACTGCAGAGTCAAACCATCTTCAAATACTTATAGAAAACAAGACTGTCAAGGCATGCCTCAATCATCATGAACCATATAGGAAATCCTAGCTTAATATCCAACTCAACAGTATTGATTTTAAAGAAAATTTAACACTAACTATACTGATAATTTTTAAGAGGTAAAATCTAGATATTAAAACCAAATAAATGATGGCAGATAAGATTAAAACTAGACATTACTTTACAAGCAAAAGAGATTTGCCTTCAAACTTTTTTTTCAAGATTCAAAAGATTTATTTGGAAAAAAATCAGCACAGGACAAAGATATCCTTAATATTCCGTCTAAGAATATCTGAATAGTCAGAATCTATATGAAATGTAGACAGCAACTCTGATTTCACAGAACATTAATGGTTTATACAAATGTATATTACCATATCCCCACAAAATACGTACTACTCTAACTACCCCTTATTGACATTATGTTTAAGTTTCTATCTTTAGTGCTACTTCAACAAACTAAAAACCAGAAAATCATTTTCATTTTTAAATGGCTGGGATTAGTTAAGCAATCAAAGTTACAGCAAAGTTTAGTAAAACCATAAGAGAATACCACTAATAACATTTTAAAATAATTCAGAATTATTTCTTTATTGAGATTAACTACACAGATTTCACAGTACTGTGGCATACTTATATTTAGCTATAGTTACAAACACATTTTAACATTCACAATGATAAGCATCATCATTTCCATTCTAATCTACAAAGCTTAAGAATAAAGAAAAACACAAAACCTCAAGTTTTACAAAAGAAAAGTTTTAAAGTCTACATACATTAACAATAAAACCATTTCTTCCAGGTAACAGGTAAAAGTGTAAAGGCATACCACTGAATTTCTTTTTCTAAATAGCCAGAAACGAAAGAATGTTTAATATCTGCGGCGCTTATTAGGGCCTTCAAAGTTGCCCCCTTGGTTTCCTCTACCAAAACCACCAGGACCACCACTCACAGGACCTACACCACTCATTGGTGCTTGAGGGGTTTCAGAACCTGTTCTACTACCCATTGGTGATCCCATCTGAGATGGTGGTCCTTGTGGAAATCTATCATTGTGCTATTATAATACCACACAATAAATATGAAGTCCATTTGGAACACGCCAAATGTAAGTGACAAGAAAAATTGGCAAAATCCCAAGTGGTGGTGTCATGAAGTTCAGCAGAAAGTCCAGCAGAATCAGGATCACACATAAAAGGAAGAAAGGAGCAATTTAATTAGTTACTATGTTTTTTGTTTTTTAAAAAAGCATCTGAAGAATTACAAATTGCTAATGCTATGCCCCAATTTCAGGAAAAAAAGAACTGATTTTATGACATAAACAAATGCCATCAGTATTATAATCCTGCTCTGATCCCTTTAAAAAAAACTTCGTATTAGAGCTATGCCATGTAAGGAAAATACTTTTTTAAAAATCAGAGACAAAACTGGGGTGCAGCATCAATTTCTATTTTAAAAAGTAAACATGTTTCCTCAATAAACATTTAAAAAATTCCAATATCAATGCTTTTAAGATAGAAAGTACTAGTACAAACACACACACAAAGAATTATGATTTCAATACAGAAACTTGAGGTATTTTCCTTGAAAAAGTTATTGGGAAATTTTACGGTTTTTAAAAAAAAAAACTGATAATTTATTAATGTGCACTACTGATAGCACAGTTTAACACCTGAACCACATATTTTGAAAAACTTCACATTAATAACCGCACATATTACTCTCAAGGCTGGCTAAACAGAACTCCCTTACCATAGTAGTAAAACGTCAGTGTAAAAAGGATCAAAAGTGGTATTTAAAGTTTGTACTTTTGGGAGTTAGGGGTCGAAAAAAGGGACAGTTAATATTACTTCTAAGTTAGTAGTGATGCTTATTTACTATTCTAAAACTTAACCAGTTAACTATGGGCCGTCCCCAATTTACGACGTATTCAAGTTGTAACAAACCGCACTTAGAGTCATCTCATAAGTAATATGTACTACATACAGTGTTGCAGTGCGTAATCTGATGTTACCATTCTCAGATGTTCACTCACAGATGTTCAATTTTATGATTTACTGTTCAAAACACTACCATGTTTTGAAATGAAAACTAAAAACCAAAAAAAGAGAGATACTCAACTTGAGTCAAAACTGACTTGGAGTTATCAGAACAAGAGCCCCGTCGTAAGTTGGGGACTACCTGTAATACAAGTTTTTACTAGCTTTCAGATGTTTCACTGTATAATAAAGCCTCCACTGAAGGAAATCCATTGATAGTTCCACTAAATGTATGATGCACCATTTGTTCATAGTAGATACTAGGACACTGCCTCTTAATCTCCCTGTAAAAACTACCATTTAAAAAAAAAAAATCTGTTAGCATGTCCAATTTTTCCAATTTCTTAAAAGACTGTATTTGATGTAAATAAAAAGAGATAAACACAGTATTCATCAATTCGAAGATGCACATTGTTTCACTTTTAACAACTCTAAAATGAGGATGGATTTACATTTAATGGAATGTTTTAGTTTAACTGGCAGTGCTTTTTCTCTCTAATCAAAAATGGCGCCTTAAGATTGGATATGGTAATTCCAAAATTGACTTTTCAAAATATATACAATCAACTAATTCTCCTAAATGTTATTTAGAAGAACCATTAATAAAAACCAAATGAGAAAATGTTTTGCCACTGTAACGACTTATTTACATAGTGATAGACTTCAAGGAAAATGATAAAAGTCTTGCTACTAATATTCAAAAACAATAAAAATCAGAACTGAAAATCCCTTTTAAAAAAATTTAACCTACACAAAGATATCTTCACACTCAAATCACGACATAAAACGGTCTACTTTAAATTTAGTAACAACTAAAATTAATAATTCTGTAATAAAAATGCAGCAATGTAAGTTTAGAATATATTAAAATTTTTAATGGTAATTATTTCACAGTTCAACTGAATTTTCTGAAGTAAATCATGACAAGCAACCTTTTTATTAAAAATATCTACTGAAAACTGTGTTTTCATTATACTGGGGCCTTGCCCCCCACCAAAGTCATTCACAAAGGAAAATACACAATCATAAAATACTTGACCATTACATTTAATGCAGGTAAAAGATAAATGCAAATTAAAAACACTGGAAAAAACAAATTAACGTATCTGCTACATACTTAAGTACTTGCCACTGACTGTAACCTACGTTTATTTCTGGGCAACTTAAAAATTGCCTTTCATAAATCAACAAATAAATTCGTAAAAATTACTTTTTCTTCATTGGATGTTGACCTCTACTGCCTAAATAAATGATGCCAAATTATGTTAAGTGTGAAGTTATCTTTGGGACAGAAGTGCATATTACTGAATATAATCAAAATAATGTTTATGATACATTACCACTGCTCCATTATCTGGCATCATTGGAGTTCCCATATTTGCAGCTCCTTCTGGTCCCATGGCAGGACCAGGACCCATAGGTGGGCCAGGTATAGTTCCTCTGTTGTTCATATTCATACCCATCATTGGAGGAGGACCTTGGTTACCAGCAGGTGCTGGGCTAAACGCATCTATGCAAAACAATCTATACTTAGAGCTGTCCTATCTTAGTTCAGTAAACATTAAAAATTTAACAATACTTTAAAAACTTATATTACAAGGGTATCATCAAGACCATTTTCCTTCCTTAATTATGGAATCCTCAATTATCTACCCTGCAAAAGAGTACTGCGTACCCTACAGAACTTTCATCCCCAAAATAAATGTACATAAAAACAAATGAAGCAATTATCAATTATTTTAGGAAATTTGATACTTTATGTAAAAATATGAAAATTTTAAAACATCAGTATTACTGCTAATCTGCTTTTTAACCAAATACTCGCTTCATAATGGTAACTACCAATTTAAATTAGCAGTGAAGGATTAAATAGAAAACTAGTTTTTTGAAAGTCATGGCTAAAAATACTTGACATATAAACTGAGTGAGTTAAGGTATGAGGGAGAAAACACTTCCTGCGATATATGAAAAGTTTAGTATAACTAAAACTCTTTCATATATATTTGAATACCCCTAAAATTACATGAGCTAGTTTAAACTGTATACAGAAATATGCAATCTAATGAAAAGTGAAATGACTCATCACGGCAGAACTTATTTTAAAAAGCAACTGCAACTAAATACAAATAAAATATTACTATAGCTATTTAAATTTTCTGACACGTTGAAATTCTGGAAATGGGAACATTCAGATATACTTAATGTTTTTGTCATCAAAAAGATATCCACCTGTTTAATATTAATACAATAGTGCCTGAGCTATACTGCTACATATATAAGGTCTCAAATACATCAGTTACAGGTGTTTTCTGTTTTTTTTCCTTTTCTAAGTGCTCATAAAAATCCACGAAGACTGATTTCAATTTAGATGTTTTCTTCTAATATTTCACAATGTAGGTCAATTTTCTGAGAAACTGAGTTCTGAGTCTCATAAAATCTCAAAAAATGCATTCTAAACAGAGTTGAAGTTTTTAGTCAAACCTACAACTCTATACATCTACCCCAACAGAACTCTCTACATGGCCAGTCCAGAGAGCAGCTAAAAGGAAGAAGTCTCACTCTGTACCACTACTGCTCTTTCTGTACCCTCTTCTCCTCAGGAACCAAAAAACTTTATAGGAAGGAACTATTTCCTTAATCCCAAAACTCTCATGTTCATAAATCTACACTTTAATTCCCCAACAATAATTTCTATTCCCTCCGTATAGCTAGAAAGAGCAATTTTTAATAGATTTCCACAGCGTCTGCCAAGATGAAAATGAGGGAGAGTGGAGGATAATACCTATGAAGTATCTTACCTCAACTTTCCCCAAAAAGAAACAACAGATTAAGGATCTTTTTTTTTTCTTCTCTCTTTTCAATTCAAAGTAATTGTTACAACTAACCTATAAGACTGGAATATAACTACAGAACTTTGTATAGAATCAATAAAAAATAGTATTTCCAACTATCAATATTTGCCATAGAGCCTTATTTTCACTACTTAAACCTTACACCATCAGCTATGATTAAACTAAATTCAAAAAGATCTAAGAAAATGTTAGCATATCTGGTCCCCTGAAAAGCAGTTTGATGATCAATGTTTCACTTGGTATATACACTAGTAATACACAAAAAATCTGCTGCCACTTTCCATCAATGTAACTTGATGGGATATGACAGTTTATCTAGTCAACAGCAACTTTCAGCTGGATGATAATGATTAATAACTCTAGTAAACCATTATGACAAACAGGAAGCTGAAAAGCCCTAAAATGTAAAGATGAGCCTCTGGTGATTGAAATGTTAAATAAAAAATTTAAATTATCTTGAATTCCTAACTACCTTAGGCCTCTAAACCTATTAACAACCTCACTTTTGTAATCCCTAAAACCACCTGGATACATCATTCTAGAGATTACTTTGAAAAATACATAAATAATGGACTATTAGTACACTACTATATACTCAACTATGCTGTATAATTTCAAACTTCTTATATACTTTGTTCATTTATTATATAATATATACATTATACTAACTCCACAATCAAGTTCTTTATGGGCAAGGGCCATGACTCTTGCTTCGTTTGTATAACAAAGATGCTCAGTAACTACTTGTTGGTAGATAAAGTGACCAAGTAAACAGCAATAAACTATTCTAGATTATCTGATTGGTCATGGCAAAGAAACTGGCATCAGAAGTAGAAACAACAAAGAAAAAACAGACTGATCATGGAAATATGCTCTTTCCACATATGTTTTAACATTTTTCATTCTATATACTATATATTCTAAGAACATACTGGATTTTGTAAATGGGTGTGCATGCTATGTGTGTACATTCCGCATTTAATTTTCTCAGTTTATTTACTTGAGTCTGTCCCTGGCAACCTGATTATACAAGTTAATCCATATTCAAAATGCTAATGTAGGTACTTTCTTTAAAAATTTAGATCAACTCTTAAGATACATATTAGCCTAGAAAGATAAAGACACATCTCATTTCCTTGACAAGTTTACAGAGGGCTCCCAATGACACACAGTGCACAACACTGTAGTTAAGGAAAAAAGTTAAATCTTTGATGAAATGTATAAAAACAGCTTCCAAGTTACACAAAAGACTAGCTTAAAACAGAAATTTATATAATACTATCAGAAAGTTAAAAACATTACAACTCAGAAACTATCAAATTTCCAAGGTAAAACTTAAAAGGCATAAAGTTTGATTCAAATAATACAACTTAGTTGTATCACACCATGCAATTAACTGAACTAGTTTCAGCTTGTATCAAAAACCTAGCTATAGGTTTCTTTCATTAAGTCTATCAAAACATAACTCAGCTTTCAAATAAAGAAAATAAAATTTTGTTCCTAGGCATATATTTTTCAATATAGGTGTATTTTAATTTGATTTAATAAATTTAAGAGACTTCACCTCTGTAAGCTTTTGTTCCGTGTATTTTAATTTATTACTGATATCCTGACACCACAAACAGCATGTACAGTCTCCCAAATAATTATAAGTAAGTTACAGAAGGCTTTTACTTCAAATCCCTACCTCCCATGTTTATTGCTCCACGGGGACCCATATCACCCATTCTCATTTCCTGTTCTCTCTGTAAGTAAACATAGTTGTCACAGTCAACCTATCAATCTCAAGACTTTACATTTCCCATCTAAAATAAAAAAGAAAAGAACATCACTTTCCATTTAAAATTGTCTTCATTTCCAATATAATTTACTAATAACACTGAAAAGAAACTTCAGTCTTCTCAGGCTTAATATACTACGAGTGCTTAGAGCACCTAGTTTATATTACCAAGATTAGATTATAAATGAGCCTGAGTACATAAAAACTATCACAGAATACCTTTAATGGTTTTACTCCAATATATCAAAGACACTTGCCTATAGATAAAACAAAGAAAAAATCTAGTAATAATAACAACCAAGGCCAATTATTTTCTTCCTCCTGGGCAACTGGAGTATTAAAATAGAAATTACTGTTACCATTTTATATTCAAATTTATTTAAACATACAACATAAACAGCTTTTGGGCACTAAGCTTAAAATAAAGTTATAGACAATTGTCACTGTATAAATTTTTCAATTACTCAAGCATCATTTCAACCATGTTCTAACAACATACCATAAAAGTCCCAACTGTACATAAGCTCAACATAAAATTGTTTTTCTTTAATTGAGCACCCTTTTACTTGGAAACCTAAATAAAGGTGTTACACAGTCGGCCAAGTTCTGAAACAATATGCTCTTGAGGTTAACTATGGCACAAAAGGGTATAGAAATGGTCAAAACTTCTGAGTTATCAATAAAGAAACTGCTTCCTAAAACTCATTTACTAACATCAGTTATATAAAATTAACTTCAATAAAATCGTTAGGTGAGATTACTCAAGATAATGTTAAAATTGAAATTTTAACTTTTATTTGATAATCTTTTCCAATCATGGAAAAGTGTTAAATGTAGCCACCATGAAAAACATTCTGAGAAAAAAGCAGCAATGTTTAAATCTAAAGAAAGCATAATTCTAATTATCAAAAGCAATTTTTATTAAAATCTAAGTGTTCATTAAAAATTCCATTTAATAATACAAACTAGTGGCAAAAAGCACCTAAAAATCTAGAAATAAAGGAAATAAAAGCCTACAATAAAAACATAAATGCAATTAAGCAGCAAACCTATCTAACCTAATGTAGATGTCGTAAAAGGTTATCCTTTACAAAGCTATGATGTAAAACACCACTTACACAGCATCACAGAGAACTGAAATGTTTTGTTACATTAAGAAAATTTCAAAGCCAAATCTTTCTCAAAGGTATTTTTTAAATTTCCATAAAAAAATGTCTCTTCTCCTGACTGCTCTGACCAGGATCACAACAGAGGGTTCTGGACAGAGCTGGAGAAGGATGCAGAGCATAATTCTAACTCACAAAAAAAAGACCAGATTTACTAGCCTAAAGGAGACTGGAGAAACCCCAAGAGTATGGCCCACAGACACCCTTTTAGCTCAGTGGTGAAGTTACCTCCGAGGTTCACTGTTGAGCGGACAGCCCCATAAAACCAAACGAGACTAACGAGGTAAGGGAGTCCAGTGACAAGGGCCAGAAGGCAGAAGGGGACAAGGAAGCTGGTGATAGGGAACCCAAGGTTGAGTAAGGATA